AATAAGTTGACATTAACCGTTATTTATGTATAGATATCTCTAGATTGGTAATAAAATTTAAAAATAAATATGATTCAATCAAAGAATAAAAAGAAAACAGTAAGCAAGATTCGATATGAAACAGATTTCAAAATTAAAAATAAAAAAAAAATTTTTTTCTTTCTTTCGCTTTAATTCTCTTTGTTTGTTTGTTATTTGAATTCTTAATCTTTTTTTTTTCTTAAAAAGATTTGTATTTTTTTCTATTGCCGTGCTTAGAAGAAAAACCTGTGTTTAGAATTATTTCAAACCTTCTTCTTTTAATGCTAGTAGTACTAGTAGTAGTAGTAGTAGTAGTAGTAGTAAAATGAATTGAAATATCAAATACTCTTGAACTTGTTTAAATTGAAGAAAGGGGGGAGCAAAGTACAAACAATAGTTGATGAATACACACAATTGTTAATGCTGTTATTCCTTTTGCTGTAGTGTTTCTTGTTTTTTTTTGGTTTTGGTTTTGGTTTTTTTTTTGCTCTCTTGCTTGATATGTGCGTGTAGGATGTAAAAGTATGCAAGGGACAATTTCTTTCTGCTGGGAACTTTTTTTTTTTTTCTTTTTTGCTCTCGCTGTGGAAATTGAACAAAAATGGGACTTGCTTGGAACGATACAAATTACTGACCTTGGCCTATTTGTCTCTTACGCTATTACACACAATCTGGTAGTGGGTATGTTGATGATGTTTATCCTATTCGTGTACTGATACAGGAGTTGGGGAAAAGGATATCTCTGTCAGTGTGGAAATAATATATGGTGTGAGTGTATCCGGGACAGAAGTTTAAATTATCAAGATAATAATTGGAATCCCTTTTATATTGTAGTTTAAAAATTAATAAGGAGGGAGGGGATATTTTAGCTGTTTCTCTTTTGAATACTATCTAATAAGTTATATCTATTTATCTACTTCCAATGGATGGGGTTAACAATAAATAATATTAATTAGGATTGCAAACTAGAAACTTTCAAGTGTAAGGTAGGGGGAAGTCCAAACAAGGGAATTAGTAATGTTGATGGTCGTTTGGTTTGATATTGCAGTTGGTATCAATCAATCAATCAGTTAATTAACTAATTAAATTAAGCTAAAAAAAAAAGGGGAGGATTGTTTAGTAATTTATATTAAACAAAAAGAAAAATTTTCTACTAATTTCAACTAACGAAATCAAAAAAATGAACCCGACTCATTTTTTTGTATTGATTTATTTAGAATGGATTGTTTTCCTCTGTGTTCTGTTTTGTTTTGTTTTATTTGTTTGTGGTATTTCTTTGACAAACACCACAAAACCCTCCCTCCTAACAATTGGTTGGTTTTGATACGAATTGAATGCACATTTAACTCCTTATACATTACATACACCTAAAAAAATATTACAAAACTTATAAAACATGATTTGTTTAAAAAAAAAAACCCACACGCCTAAACTAAAGTATCATGTGTTAAACCGAAATGAATGGAATAAACTAATTTCAA